TTTTTCTTGTATGGACTGGATTTTTTTTTGGTAAAAGGGCAAATTTACAACTCTTTACCCTATATTTTAAACAAATTTCATGTTTGCAATAGACTATAAAATAAAAATAAAATGTATTTTCAAATATTTATGACATTTCCTCTGGTGGGAGCCCGTGTATGGCCTGGTTTTGAGCTCTGTTCTGGTTCTGGTTTGGATTCAAAAACACAATTAAATAATAATAAAATAATAAAACATGCTGTTTAAAGGTTTTTTAAATATACAATGACTGCTTTACTAATGCTCTGCTAATATTTAATGGTGTAGTTAGCTGCAAGTCTTACCACAATTTCTTATGAATTACACAAAATCTGATACTGATTCTGCATTTTTTTTCACTTGTATCACCAAATATACTACTATTAAATACAGACAATTAGTTTCTCATCCTAATAAACAAAAGAAGGTCATTTTCAACATAATGGTGGTTTCTGAAACATATGGTCTGATATAACTCAAGGACCATTCTAAAACTATTCAGGAAAGGTCCCATTTTATCCTGTTGATTAAAATTTTTGATACTAGTTCAAGTCAACAGTGTCTGCGTATTGGCTTTTTTAGATAACTCAATATCTAGCATGCGTTTCATTTCACCTATATTTTCTGATTGACGAGGAAAAACATCCCCCTCTGTAGCGGAGGTGCCAGGGAGTGGGCAGTCGCACACACGCCGGGCACTGGACGACAACACCGAATTCATTTGGATCTTGTTATGAGGCCTGGCTCTCCCCCTCTGCCCCCTCTAATGATTCACATAGAGCGCCACATGGTCGCGCTCTCTCCGCCCCCTCCTCTGTTTGTTTGACTCTCAAATCTCAATCGGGAACACTTGGGGTTCAACAAGAGCTGCACATTCAGATCTTATGTCACTGTTGGCTAGCGCACCTACAAATGTGTATGAGATGTGTTCAACATGTTGGGGAAGATTAGGGTGCATTTGAGCCAGGATGTAAAAGTGAGCATTAAATCTTTGTTACTGTTGTTTGTATGGGTCAGTTTAAAGTAGAACTGAACACTAAATGGAAATTTTACAACTAAACTGTGCGTATGCTGTTGTAATAGCGTTGTCTAGTGTCATTCTGGCAACTTTGGTGCAAACTAGGTGCAGCTGGTCAAAAGTCTAAGCGTGTGCTGCCTTCAGTGGCCTCTGTGATTTCCAGTATTTAGTAATGTCACAAAAGACCTGATGCCCTGATTACAGCCACTTGTTTCTAGATAGAAACACCAGGCTGCAGAGGGGAGTTTGTTTTGTATTGTATTTGGTTATTAGAGGGACAATGTGCATTAAAAGACAAGATAATGCAAACCATATATAATGTTTGAAGTGTGGATACCTGTTAGACCAATCACACTGACCCGCCTCCTCTCTCACTCTCTCTTTTAGTCCAAAGGCACTGCTCAGTTTAGCAGCTCTATTTTGAAATGAGGTTGTGGGCAGAGTTTATGTGTTTAGTTCCACTTTAAAAGTGTAATCATTCTTCAATTTGTGTAGACTGAATAAGGGCATCCATAATAACAAACAAATGATCAGAGAATACCACTGTCAAAACATTTTCTTCATGAAGTTAATAATGACTCTTGTCTGGTAGACCTAGTTTCTTGCATAAATGATGATACACTCTTTAGCCTCATGCTTCTCAGCTGCTCGAGCACACCCTGAAATGCATGGGAGATAATTTAACTATATAAAACTATATTAAATCTGAAGCCTTAAGGCAATTGGATGGGCAGGATAAGTTTTTCAGTCAAAATCTACATCCATGGAGTTAACATTATAAAGAAATGAATACAGATTTGCATTTAAATTTAAATTAAATGTACAGATGTATTTGTTTTGAAGGATACTTATTCAATATAATGACTAAAGTAAAATGGATTATATCAAATGAGATATCTAATGTGGATAGAGTATCATAGAGCAATTTGCAAGTATGATTGGTGTATTTACAAAAAAAAAAAGCTAGACGTTTCATTCATTTCATTCACACAAGACAAATAATTACATTTTAAAAAGTCCCAAATGAATCACTGCATTACAGCACTGTCCCCTTCACCCCACCATAACCGGCCGGTCCAGCAGAGGGCACTCACTGACACGTGTTAAACCTGAGCCTCTGCAGTCATTCAGCACACAAATCCACTTAACCCTTACCAGACCGGTGCCTTGCGGATAACATTGATTGATTTACCCACTCCAATTCTAAACCCAGACTCCCCTACGCCCCCTATTCTTATGAGACCCCCCAGTAATAAAACCAGTTCCAACAGTGACCCCAGCTAACAGGTGTCCCGCAGGCTTCCGTAGTTCGGCGTATTAAGTGCTGCATCTTCCTGACAACACTTAGATATAACAAAGCGCGCAGGGCCAGGGGAAACCGTGGGACACCGCTTTTTAAGGACTGAAATTGAGTGTCTTAACTTGAGAGGGGTTTTGTAAGAGTGCCCTGAGAAAATGAGAAATACTTTAATTCCACTTTCACCACGCAGTAAGTGGCCACAGCGCTCCAGTGTTTAAGGAAGGGCTATTTTCATCAGAAGCTCCAAGTACCTGCTGTTCTATGCTTCCTACAGAGAGTGTGTATATGAGAGAGAGAGAGAGAGAAAGAGAAGAAAAGAGAAGAGAGAGGGTGGAGGGAGAGAGAGATGGCAACGTTACTCCAGGCAAAAAGCTCCTCAAATGGACTTCAATATAGGAGAGCTATAATGGATGTATGTAGGGAGGTAGGGATGTTGTGTAACTTCACGACTATGCACTGCTTTGGAAGGTATTACGTTAATAGCCACTCGCAAATACTTCACACATCGGAAAGTAATAACAGGGAAAAAAATATGTGCTTTAAACAACTATAGCAACTTTTGGTGGTCTTTATAGTGATAACTTGCCGCTCTATACCCAACTGCAATGTGGACTGAATCAAAAGTATAGCATTAAAGGTTCACTGCCCTATTTTGAACCTTGAGTGAAGAACGTGTTATAGCTTGCAGTGTTAGCTACGCCCACTCCTCTCACTCTGCTGTTAAACCATGACAGGGAAAAATTGTCTGTGATACAAGCAGTCGTTTCCACATGGTTCTCATCAAGCTCCACCCACTCAGTCACTTACAGCATTCTGATATCGAAACGAAAATCTTCTACAGCAGCTGCCAAAGAAAAAAAAAAAAAAAACTGGCAAAATCCAATTTTTATGAATGAAACCAATGTATTTATGTAAAATAATATCTCTATTTTTATATGGCATTAAACTTTCACACATTTTAGTAATCATAGCATACTAGAGCATCACTAAATGTCTTGCCCTATGGTACTATGTAATGTTATTGATTGTACCATGTTGTTAGCTAAATTTAGGATTATTTAGATGAGTTTACTAGTGTTGTAGTCAAGACCGCACTAATTGAGACCAAGTCCAGTCCGAGACCACAGAGTCCCAAGACCAGTACAAGACCAAGACCTCTGAGGGCCTCTGAGTCTCGGTCTGGTCTGAGACCGAGACCAGACCGAGACTTTTACAGGCCGAAACCGAGACAAGACCGAGACCATATTTTACAGTTATTCTGGCACATTTATATAAATGTTTTTTTATAAATCGATCTCCATTTTATCTGATTAATGTTAATTTAGGCTTAAAATAAGCTAAGCAAACTGTATTGCCCTGAAACACTCTGTGCCATTTTTTTTGGACCGTGACCCACAGTTTGAGAACCCCTTCTTTAAGAAAACTTCCCCTGGCACTTTACACAAAACAACTTCAAAGTGGATGAAGTGTTTTTTTTTGTTTTTTTTTTCAAGTTCATAACATTTACAGTTACATTATCTTACTGGTTTTGCAGTGATATTTATCAGTTTCTGCACATTTACCGTCCGTAATGAAATATGACTGGCACTTGCCATCAAAACCAAATGTGCTCTAGTCCGAGGCGGTCTTGAAGCTGGTCTCGAGACTAAGCCTGGTCTAAGACACTAGAGTTTACAGTTGTAAATAGTAAATTTAAGTGGTACATTTGCTTAAATAAAGTTTTAATACACTTAAAAAGTGTATAGGCATAAACACTTGTCAGATGGTGAAGATACCGATTTTTTAACCTGTGGTGTCTATTTGTGTCATACAGTAAGATCGATCCATTGTCCTCATATGAGGACATCATCTTCTGCAAGAACTACTTCCTGTATAAAAACAAAGTTTAGTTACGATACTTATTAGGTCCTACTTATCTCAAAAATCAAGGAGAAATAAAAAATGCACAGCAGACAAAAGCTTGGGTCTCAAGAGGTTAAAAAGACGAACCAGATCCTGACTCCGTAATTTCCGATGGGCTTGACTGACAGGTGGATTAACCAATCAGAAAATAGCTTGTTCATGGAATAGAAAGATGATGGCTTACAAGTAAAAAAAAGACACAAGAGTGTAGGAGAGTCACAGACACTTGTTTCTACAAATTTCTCACCCAGCGTTGTTCCTGGACAGAATGGCCCTCACTGGTATATGGTCATCACTCAACAAATGCCAAAGGTGATATCTTTCTCATTCACTTTCACAAATAGCTGCTTTTACAGCACACTGCATGGTCTAAAGGGCATTCCAAAACTAGAACAAATAAAAGTCAAGTACGTGACCTTTAAAATATTAAACAATGTGACAGCTCATTTGATTTGAAAACACATTTTTACCAAGTACCACTACTACATGCATCATCTGTTATTGGTTCACTCCTGCTTCATTTCTTGGATCGATTTGATAGATACTTAGAGACAAACAAAACCTAAAATACAAGCTGCTGTTATAGAGATAAGAGGCAGTTGGAATTTTGTCCTCGACTCAACTCCTTGCACTATTTTTGTGCTTGTAAAGTGTCATCTGTCCACTTATCCATAACAGGTGCCACAATGAAGATAAAATACAACAGATAAAACACCTGTCAGTAGTCATAATATTCTGGCTGATTGGTAAAAAAGTACTTACTCTTTTGACGTCTTTGCCGAATGTCTCACTGTAGCTGGTGCCCAGGATTTCAAACTGCACGTGTGAGTTGGAGCCTTCAGCACGGAAGTCCATGAGCCCGGTGAGCCCACTGATGCGCCCCTGAAACCAGACACACAGAGAGAGAACCCCCAACTGAGCAAAGTTTGAGCATGTGGGGAGAGGTCAGGAGACCGGAGGCACTTGTTGTACAGATAACCCGCCCCATGATGGCATCCCACTGTGAGCAAAGGGAACGCTAAAAGGCAGAGCTATACATGTCTGTCTCACATGCATGTACAATGCCCTCCTGTTGCAACCACTTCTTTTAGTGTCTTGTTTAAAGAGGGTTAAAAAGGGAATTTTACTTCTATGGGGACTGCTAAAACATCCATTATATATTTACAGTCCCATGTTACCCTTTATTGCTTTGAAAATGCTATTATGCCAAAAACTACATATTAACATGCTTTATAAGTTTCACATTTTTGAGTCTCTCCTCCCTTTGCTCTGTGTGTTAAGCCATTCGTCTGTCAGAGTGTTATCAAGTTACAATCTGCATGTATTTCACTAATAAAGCTACTGCACATTGCATCAGGTTTGTCAAAGTTGTTGTCTACAGTTTTGTGTCATGCTTTTGTATATTTATGGAAAATTGTTGTGTGGGAGCATGGGTGACATAGGCTTCTGGGCTGAGCATTTGAACAGATTTTTACAGCTTACCGACATTAAACAGGTCCCAGAGATGTTGCTAACTAAAACCTTGTCAGGCATGTTTTTGATGAACAAACAATGTTATAACATGGTAGAAACTCAAAAACTATTTTGCATAATACCCCCTCTTTAAAGTAAACACATTGTCCAAAATTGCTTTTATGAGCTTTTAACCTTGTTGTAATGGTTTTCCCTTATCCCAGTCTTACTAATAGTTGTATTTTGAATGACTCATGCATGACTGCGTAACCATGCATTGTCCTGCACTTGAGGCTTGAGTGCTCAGAAAATATAGTCTTCACATACCCCCTACTGGTCTACTTACATGTGAATCTTTTAGAATTTCAGAGTAGAGGGCCTTTGAACCATTTTAGATCAATAGAGCAGGTTACAGTGAACAGAATGTAAAACCAGGATCTGGAATATGTCTTATTTTAAAGAGACTATATTTTGCTCAACTGACTTTTTGAGTTTTTGTTCAGGTTATATTGTCATTTCCTTGTGTTTAAGTAAGCTTAAAACTCTCCATCAACTGAGGCCATGATGTGGTGCTCTGCTGCGGTTTAACAGTCCATACACTGTCAGTGGACTCATTGTGCATGTGTTTGACAATGTCTAGCAGCTGTAATTTTTAGCTTCATATAAAGTTATTGCATATTTCAAAAGAAGCCACACAGAGAATGTTCATAAATGTATTGTAATACTACATTTATCAAATGAAAGTTACTAACAGAGGCATGAACTTTAGCCCTGGACTGACATTCCACTTGAAGGGCTCAAGGCGTAGGTGGAAAAAAATACGTACTTACATGTACTGTTTATTTGTATGGCTTCTACTGCAGAGTTGTAGACATGATCTTTTATTTTTGCATCAGTTTTACCTTAAAGGTCCTATATTACAAAAAATACTACTGATATATCCATGTTATAATGTTAATATCTCACCAAAAACATTCCTGAAGTTGTGTTTAGTTTCATTCACACATGTTTGAGTAATCCTGCATCATTAGTCTGTCTACATCTCCAAAGCTCAAAATACTCTGTTCCACCTTGTGCTGTCATGTAGTGGTAGTTTTCTAGTTAACAGCTACCCTTTACTTTCAGTTCAGTATAGATGAGCAATTCCAGTGCTTAAATCTCCTTAATGATTTTAGTGAAGGTGTATGGAGCTTAAAAACACAGTGAAGCACTTCCTGTATTACTGTATGACATCACAGGGTGGAACAGAGTGTTTTCTGTTTGAGAGAAGAACTCAGTCTAAATATGCAGGATTTGTGTGTTAAATATGTGATTGAAACAAAACGCAACTCCAGATATGTTTTTGATGAGGGAACAACATTATAACATAGCTCAGAATATGGGCCCTTTAACAGTGATGATGTATAGTTGGATACTGCTATATGATTTCCCATATGAATATGTATAAGATGTGATTGGTCAGTTGAAAGTAGCCCGCTGCTTCACTTTATTCTATTATATCATAACTGTCTTGAACCCACTCCAGCTCAACTTCTCCAACAATAAAAAATTCCATTATCCGATTGAACTAAATGACATCAGCCCACCTTACAGTAAAGGCTGCCAATTTTCTGAGTGAGAGAAAAGAGGGCTACCACACATACATCGGTATCAAAGCAGTCAATGAGCCCTGGGTCTATCTGGAGGCCACTCTTGGAAAATCATTTTATAATTTCTGTAGTTAAGGTCTTACTAGAAATGCTTCAATAATTCTGTATGTTCTTTTAACTCCTAACAGCCGCTTAAAGGACACTACCTACCTCATTTTGTACTTCCTATTGATCCACATCTCAGCCAGTCTTTTTGATCTACCCCTAGTCATTTAGCAGCACACAGAGAGGTAATGGGATACCTTTTGAATGGTGTCGAGCATGGACCATCCTCCGTTCCAGGGTTTGGTGGATTTTCTCATACAGTTGAGGCTTGCCATGCTGTGCCACTTGCGGTCCTCAAGTTTTCGATAGAAGGCGTTGGCGAGCATCAGGACACTGTCATATAGATACAAGTTGGATACCTGGACAAAACAGAAATATTTGAAATTTGAAAATATAATTGCTGAATAGAAGTAACAACATAAGTGTAATTTAAGGCCATGTAATCCCTTTCATATAGTTAAGAGTTAAAGGTTCTATATCACACAAAATTTACTCTTGTGAGATTTAGGTCACGCTATAATGTAGTGACCTCCTCAAAAACATACCTGGAGTTGTGTTTTGTTTCATTCACACATGCTTGGATAATTATTAATCTTATTAGTCTGTCTACATCTTCAAATTCAGAATGCTCTTTCACTTTGTTGTGTCATGAAGCGATAATTTTGAAGTTAACAACTACCTTTAACCTTTTGTTTAGCAGAGATGGGCAAGTCCAAGTTTAAAATTATCCAAATTATTCTAGGGAAGGTGTATGGAGTTTAAAAGCACAGTGGAGCACTTCCTGTATAACCACATGACATCACAAGGAGTGTTTTCAGTTTTTTGTTTGTGAGAGAAAATGACAGTTTTGAGTGTTAAACGTGTGAATGAAACAAAACACAACTCTGGGTATGTTTTTTTTTTTATAACATATTATAATAAATAAATAATGTAATATGGGCCCTTTAAACCATTTCCCCCCTTTACAGTCTTTTTTAAAGTACTGTCTGCATCTAATAATGTGTGTTTTCTATTCATCCCAAACCCGGAGGTAGTTCAAGTGTGCTGTTATCATGCTAGTTTTTGTTAGCAGTGCCGTGTGATGCCAAACCTCCAACCACTCTGCCGCTCCCAAATGGACCAACACACAATTTTCTCTCTATATATATATTTTTTAATGTCAAATACAATGCAATGACACACGCCCTTCATCTGTTGAGTACTTGAGAGCATCATATAACAAAGTACACGCCATCATTTATTAAAGCATCCCATCTACTTCAGTTCTGTACTTTCTCTGTATTTCCACTCTGCTGTTTTCAATGATGTAATGTCACAGGCTGAATTCACATTGCTTTTTGGTTAAGGTTAAGGGACATTTTATTTTCCATGTACTGACACATCCTGGTGGTGCGTCATTACTGGTAAACATGTTATCTAGTATGCAAAAAATGGACTTAGACACATACTTTTAGGCTTACTAATAGAAAATAGATCTAAAATATCACTAAAGACGGCAATGGGCAGTTAGGGTTAGATACAGTTCATTCAACTGTAACATGCAGCACCTAAATATAGATATGTTCCTATCCTAAATGCAGATGTAATTTGTTTGAGGCTCTTGGGTACCCATGGCAACAATGCAATGCAAAAGGTTCCATGAAAATAGATTATAAATTGTCAAATGTTGTTATCATGTTACAGTCAAACAATCAGCCAAGAATTTTGAATTTCTGATTAAAATATAATTTGATCAAGAGTAACTTATTCACACAAATAAAGTCTATGGTAAATGGCCAAATAACGCTTCACATCAAGCAAACACATTCACATTCATACACCTGTCTATGCACTGGGGGAAAGGTGGGTTAAGTGTCTTGCCCTTGGACACAATGACAGCATTCAGAGCTGGGAGCTGGAATCACACCACCAACCTGTGGCTCAGTGGATCTGACAGCTCAGTGGACAAATACTTTATACCATACTATACTACAACTATACTGCAAAACAACAATAATTCACTTTTCCAGGCATTGCAAAGCAACACAATTTATATATATATATCATCATTTAATACAAAGTGCTTTATAGAATAAGAAACACATTAAAATCACAATACAAACAGATCAGAACATCAATGATCATAAAATTAACATTAAAAGAGAAGAGAGAAGAGTGCAGAATAAAAACCTTTCAGTCATATGCACAGCTCAACACATTAGCAAAACAATAAGTAGATATTTTGTTATTTGTAAGAAACCACAGTAGCAAACATTATACAGGCACTGTCAGATGAAGAAAAAGAGGTGGAGCGCTTCACTAGGTCATAAAAGAGTTAAAAATAGCAGTACAGGTGCTCTACGAGGGTTAAAACTGTAGTGTTTAAACTGAAATTTACCCTTACTGGAAAACGTAAAAGTGGGCAAGGTACAAACCCGAGGCACTGTTTGTCCCTTGTATAATTTTTCTGTTTAAAAATTATACAGGGGACTGATTTGACTGACTTGAAGCACACCCACAATACACAGTGAGGTATTTCAAATTCTTTATTACCTGTTTATTTGTATTAACCTGACAGACACTTACAAATTTCGGTCACAGTTCCGGTTAAAGGCCCAGTCTCCAGTTCATCTGTAAAACTCTTGATTACATTGTTGTAGAGTTGTAAACCACATAGATGCCTGATCCCTCTCAACTGTACATCATATTTAACACCTGTTCATCATCACCTCCATCTTTAGATCTGTAATTGAATTTAGAAAAGACGGCTTGCTATTTAACTGATTGTTTCACATTCCAAAAGGTCAACGCAGTCGTTAATATGCAAGAGCCAGTATGTCCGCTCCCATGGTTTATAACTGCAGCCGCCATCATCAGACACTATAACTCATAAAGTCTGTGTGCGGCAAAGTGGCCTCACAATGGACCAATAGAAAGCATTGTTGTATAACGATTAATATTTCATATGAAAATTTGAAAAGGAATTGTATCTCCGATGGGGAAAGGAGCTGTTTAAAATAATAGCACCAGCGAAAGAAGAAGGCCCCAAAGGTATTTTAGGATTCTCTCATCCCAGATTCACCTCAACTCAACTCGAAAGACGCAATACGTTTCCTCATTGCACATTCCATTTGAAAAATTATATGTTTGGGAAATAGTTTATCTTTATACATGGGGCGCTGCTGTTGTGTTTGAAAATACAGCAGACTTCAGGAGATTGGAAGTCAGGATGTGAATAGGCACAAAAGCGGTTGAATTGGAGCCATATTGTGGTGCAATAAAAGAAAATGAATACAAGGTTATTTGCTTTTTTAAATACCCATTGCAATTTCATTTTTACATGGAGATTTCTTTTATTATGCTCAAAAAAGAGCCTATAATAAACGTAGAAATAACGGTTGAAGCGGTAGCAGTGCCAATTGTAGTTAGTTGTGTAGTAACTGAAATAGTATTGATCCGTTTGTACAAAAAATACATTAATAAAATTTTTTTTAAAGCAGTTCAGTGTTTTTTCTAAAACTCCAGTTTCATCAGCCCAAAACAAGCACAATAGATAAAATCCTCCAGCTAAGGTAGTCCTGCCCAAGCTTATAACATCATGGAGATGGGTCTCAGGCTCCTGACAGGTCGCCCCAGTGGTACTGAAGGATGGACCAAAGAGAACAAATTTCCCTACAAAGTGTACCTTAACCTACAATATAATATAAAAGCAATACAATAATATAGCAATTTGGTTTCATAACAGGCACTTTCTAAGGAAGTGAACCATTTTCGCTATGTTTATTTATTCTTAAGAGTACTTCTTGTATGTCTGAATCACAATAATGGGGTCCTTGCTTGCAAAAAGATGTGAGGTCGTGTGGGGTGATTGCGGGCGAAACAAAAGCCTTTTTCTTAAGCATCACAATATTGGCTAAGATTCTGTGTTTGGCTGGTGTAAAATCACAGGTTTCCAGCTGTCGCACTGGTGTAATGACAGAGTACAGTGGCACATCCAAACTGACAAAGGCAATAAACAACAACAAAAAATAGCGGTTTCGATCATCTTTTTTCCTCAGCGCTGCCGTAAGCTGTGCAGTTCTCGGATTGATGTGGGCTGTCTTCTGTCCTGCTGAATGCTGATTTGATAGGTCCTCCGGGTCTGAGAGGAAGATCCATGGAAGCAATACAAGCTGCCACTCTGAGCGCTCCGATCATGACAGGTCTCCACACAGAGTCCAGCCCCTCCGTCATCCTAAATATGATCTTTACCTGCTCATAGGTCACATGGTCAGGAGCCTATAGCCAGCAAAATCAAACTTAGCTTGTCACTAGGTTTTACACATCTATAGACTATAAAGAAGTGGAGTAAGGGAGTGTGACGTCACCCATAGTGTTTGGCTCCATCCAAATGAAGCTCACAGTGATAACGGTTATAGAAGTGAATTTGAAGCCGACTTCCACATTAGGAATAGGGATGTATTTATGGACAAAATAGCAAAATAAAAACACCAGGATCATGTAGAGTGGGTCAAGACCAAAATGAGGAGGCTCGCAGCAGCAGTTACAGAGAGAGGGGTGACAATTTTGTAATGTAAAGTCAATTGGAAACAGAGTCAATGGAGCTGGAAGTGCCCCATATTCTCTTCATATTTGGAATGCGGCAGTTAGTGGGTTAGTTATGTCCATTTACATACGGTCTACAGTTTTACCCACACGAATGATAATAAGATAAAATCTTGTAGTCATTTTTGGTACTGAAATCTTTAGATGCAACTGAACACTGATTATGGAAGCTAAATCAGTTAAACTGGATGCTCTGTCTGTCTTGCAACACATTATGGTGGGTGAATGTCTTGCCTGAAGACACAACGACATTATTCACTGAGTCAAATTGGCAATGAAACCTTATGAAAGAGTATGTTTTGTTGCCACACATTTTTGGAATGTGTTGTTGTTTTTACTACTTTTGCAAAACAAAATATAATATAACTAGTGTGGCTTCATCATAAAGGCCAACATAGTAAGTGATATGGTATTTCTATCAAAATTATTCAAAAGAAACTTCATTTGTAACTTCATTTATGTATTGGTAATGCAGTCCATATATGCAGCAAAGATGTAATTTATCAACACGTGAAATATGCTCATTTTCAGTGTTGCAACATTTTGAGTAGTAAAAGCTACTTTCTGACAAATGCTCAAACCTCCACTTCCCCATATTTAACACAGTTATGTGGGAGACAAAGAGGACATTGGTGCAGGCTCCACACAGTTCCACCATCTGCCCTGAGAGAAGGATGGGCCTGCATCAGAGCAACTACAGGGAATACGGCCATTACAGCCCCATGGATTAAAACACACTCAATACTTTAATGTCTCTGGTTGGAGTGCTCCATTTAAAGAGGAAGTCACAATAAAGAGCTGGTACTTACTGTACAAAGAACAGAATGACATTGTGCTGCAGAGATAATACTGCTGAATCCTGCTGAAGGCCGTATCTGCTTTACACACCTGCATTATCACAACCGAAGGACTTTTGGATGAGCTCCAATGTGACAAATCCTATACACAAATGACAGATAACCCGATCAGTGTAGGAGTATGAGCGATATCAATGAACGCTGTGCAATGTTATTTCAATGATGTATCAACCTAGTTTATTTAGGATCTGCATTTCACTTGAGGATACACAGGTCTCAGTTAAATTGTATGTTATGGTCATCAGGTCCTGTTTGAATATGAAATAGTCTCAAGAAGCTAACCTTTATAGATAAAGGATAAAAAAACATTGTTCAAGTAAAGTGTTCTTGTGAAGACACTAGTCCCTTCTGTTGTCACTAGTCCCTTGAATGTCCACATGCTCTATGTGTTGTGTTTTGGTCTGAGATCTGTACACTTGTTTGTATGTTTCCCTGCTGGTGCCTCTTGGCCAGGCCATGTTTGTAAATCAAAAAAAAAAAAAGATCTTCAGTTTGTGAGCAGCTTGGCTAGTGATCAGACACATTTCCGTACAAAGAGACTGGAAGCAACTTTTCATTGCAAAATGCATGAGAGACTGGTGTTTACCGCCAACATGAACGCCGGAGTGGATGTACCATTCACTCCAGCTCCACCTTGTGAAAAACAAGGGTGTTTGGAGGCCAAACAATCCTGAGGAGGATCTGAGGAGGAGGTACAAACAGGTCAGACATGGACCTACACCCTGAAGTGAGAACCACTGTTCTTCTGAAGATAGTGGCACCTTGTTAGCAACAAAGACAAGGTACCAACCAGCCTCCAGTACTCATTCTCCTCGTGAGCAATGGATTCAGTCTCAGAGGAGGAGACTGCAGAGACCCAGCCTCTCATGTCGTCTACCTCCACTTGGTGGCGCTACAGTCCACAGGGATTCACATTTTAAAGTGATCCCACCCATTAAACCCCACAGAGGGCATAAGATAATCTTACCCCCCATCTGTGGGGCTCAGTCCAAAGAGACCAGCTTCTCTTTGGGACAGCATGCAGCCTCTGGAGAACCAGGGAGAACCACTTAGGGACCCAGACTGCCTTTGGTTCTGCCACTGATATCACCCAAGGGTGAAGATTTTTTTTCTCTTTTTTCAACTCTGCTTCCATTCACCTGCTCTTTTCTCACTACAAAACTATCATCAGACATGTGTTATGTCCCACTTTGGGACAACAGGCAGTCCTTGCTGAGTCTAGGAGTCAATCCCAGAATCTCAAAGTGCCTCTGATAGTGGCTCCTTCAGTACCATGCAAAGGTAAAACATTTGTTAAAAAACTTTAGCTAAAGAAAACTGAGCATCTTTATTTACAACACAACAACACAACAACAAATGTGTCCAAAGCATCACAGAGATTGTCACCCTGCTTATTTTGATTCTGCATGGACCCAGGTTTCAATTGGTAGTAAGATAAGAGATGAGTGTGATGATACTAATCCATAATATAGCTACAGGAAAGTGTCTATAGAAAACAAGTGTCCAGTTACTTTAAACAACTGTTCTTATTTGCAGATACTAACAGGTTTAAGCCCAATTAAATATTGATGAGGTTTATTTTATGGGTCTTCTCTGTGGTACTGAAAAATGCTTGAATGTGATTATATATAATTATCTTAACTTTAGTGCAATCAAGTGCACCATAAATGCAACTGAATGTGTTTTTAAATTGCATTATTTCGCCTAATAGGACTAAGCACTTATGTATCTGATAATAATAACTACAGGTGGCTAGGACTCACATACATTTACCTAGATACATTCACTTTTTGGGGAAAAAAACCCCAACAACTTTTCAGAGTAGTTTTGTGACATCTTTGTTGAGTAATATTTAGTTTGAAGTAATAGTACTCTTGAGTAAAAGCTGGTTATTCATCCCTCTGTAAGTCTATTGGTGACTTTCATTCATTAGTGCCTCTTAAACCAATCTTTAAAATATTAGTTTTTGTAATTTCCGTGTCTATTCTTTGAAAATACCAGAATCTGTAGATTATTTTATGTTCTGGTCACATTCACTCAAAACAGACTTTAAATACATTTTACGTCCAAACTCGCATTCTGTACTCAAGTTTCTCCAAATACTTTTTACTTGAGTATTTATTTGTATTTGTAATTATTTTTTGTCAGTGTCATACTACTCTACTTGAGTAGTAGTATTTTAAACGATACTATTACTTGAGCGATTTTTTTTTATATCTCCACCCACCTCTGATAGCATTTCTTTTTCACAATAAACTTCAAAAATCTTTAGCTATTAGCTGAAGTTGCTCTAAAGTTGGATTGAAAGTGAACTGATCCTTCCCAGTGTTAAAACAACATTTTTCTCCTCCTCCAGAGCCTCTCAAAGTCACAGTGGGCTCAATCATTGGTATTCAGGGGCATGCATGTTCCTCGTAATTACCTTATCTGGGGAGCTCAATCTCCACCCAGTCGCATACATAATCATTGGATAATATTTGCATTCATGTGGCACTTTCCAGATGCTTGTCTATAATGTCCACTGGCAATAGCTGCGTATGATTTAGCGGCGAGACAGCAAGGGTCAACTTATAAACTACTATAAAGCCATCCTATACAACAATGAGCAACAACATTTTTACATTAAGTACAACCATTGAAAATAAATGGGGTTTTACAGTATTATGCAAATGAGATAAAAAATACATGAGACGGCAAATCTTGACTAAATCGGGACTTAACTGGGGCATGCACAATGAGATAGAATCAGATGTACAGACTGCAGGTGAAAGATAACACAAAATGTGAACTAAACACAATTCAAAACAGGGACTAAACTAAGCATATAAAGTCAACTGTATAGCCTTACACTTCTATTGGCATTTATTCATTTGCATATGTTCTTATTTCTCTAAATACTTTCATTCTTCTTACTTGGAGCAGGTTTGACTCTCCAAACACCGGACCTGTAACATGGGCTGATGGTGTCATTTCAGATTTAACACCATACACTGGGTCATTCTAGGCATTTTAAAAAAATTTTTCATTTGTATCCGACGCATTAAGAAAATAAAAGCAAAAATGAAGAACGAAGTAAATAGAGGGCAGTGGGCGTATACCAGTGGTGGTGAAAGTGAGGGTTGATTGGTAATATGACGCCTTGAAAATAAGTGATTAAAGATTGCTCAAACATGCACCAATCACTCTAAATACAAAATTGAGAGAGTAATTGAGAAGTGGAAACAAGTCTAACATGATTAAAAGCTCTTAAAGGTGGATTTAGAGTGTTAAGTCTGCAAAATCTTGAGTCTACACCAGTTGTAAACTTGATTATAATAGTTCTCAGGTATAAAAAATATTCTGGTATATAAGATATCAGTGAAAACTTGCTGCAGAAGTACACACTGTTTATGAGTACAATGATGGCCTTCACAGCAGCACCCAAAGTGACTATAAACTCTACAAAGGCGGGATAAAGCCCCAAAATATGCAGAGGAGAGAAAGAACACAACCTTGCCACCAGTCAAATACCACATTAAAATTCATTCATCACGAGCGTGTGTGTTCCTGCCTTCCTCTATGGCTTTGTATGCATACAGGCTGCTGTGGGACCTCATGCGCTGTATGCTGGGATAGACTGAGCATATGAATGTGAGGCTGACATTTTGATTACTCAGCAGGAACGGGCCGAGCAGCAAGATGTGAGCGAGTTTGAAAAAGTCACAGGTTAGAAGGGAGATGTTGTACAGTCGGCGAAATGATCTGCTTCTAGTTCCAGCAGGAAGACACTGATGTAACCTTCTTATGAGCTTGTAAAAGTCAAACGCAAGAGCTAAGCAAGGATAACAACTCAACTTTTAGGGATGAACACCAAGCCAAGGTCATGTCCAAGGAAGGTATGAGTAGACTGCAGAGGGTAAGCTCATACAGAGAGAACGGCCATGAATCTGCTGTTAATGTTAAGTCATTATATGGACTGTGTGATGCTAAATACGGTGTTAAATACTGCAATTTGCCCATTGTTGGACAAATATAATTTCATCTTGAACAAAAAGACATTTTATTAAAAAAAAAAAAAAAACCTCAGACTGCTATGAAACCCCATAAGATGAAGAAGATTATTCCAAAACTGAGCTCAATCAAAAAGAACACATTTATTTAACAAAAATATTCAAATAAATATTAGGCTGGATAGATGTTCTAACTTACACGTACACTTATAATATGTATAATACTTATAATACTTAGAGGCATCAATTACATTTGACAGTAGAACATATTATGTGTTTGATTTAGACGTTATGGCTGAAAAGATTGGGACCCCCTTTGTATTATACCCAGGAACATTCAAGGTAAAACAAGAACATTTCCACAGACAAACAGGTGGCAGGTCCAGCAGCAGTAAAGTTACATGGCGCCCCATAAGTTGCCTTGCCCACAAAAATGACATATCTCACCATTTCTATGATTTCTGGCCTCCAGAAACAAGTGCAAAACAACCACAACATAGACACAAACACAAACAGTAGCAGAAAATTGTAATAATTCAACAAAGTCATCCCAATAAGCTTCAAGGTGATCAATACACCATTACCAAAGTGTTGAAGTGTGTGAGTGCGTGCTCACCTCCAGGGACTGCAGATAGCCCTCCTGTGGGTCGCAGAGCAGAGAGGAGATGCGGTGGTTGTTCCTCATACAGCGCACATTGGTGTCCCTCCACAGCGGGAAGATCTGACGGATGATGGTCATCCTGCCCAAAGAGGTGTGAACCAGCTCCATGATGTCAGCATCGCTCACCTCCTGAGGAACAAGCACAGGATACAGGTTAGAGGCACATATGCTCGGCTCTGTGCAATAGATGGACCAGGGTAGTGGGGCACAAATGGAAACATATTACAAGCTACAGACTCTTAGAACTAGACAATGCGATTTGGCTTGGTCTGGTTTTAACACAAAAAATAATATCACTTCTTCCTCCATAGTCTGAACTCTGCTTCAAAACACATGATTTATTGACAGTGGACTGGATGTGGACTTCTCAGTTAAAATAAAAACCCAACCACAATGACAATGAGACGTCACTGATTCACAATCTCTTGATCTTTCAATGCCCTAGTTAAGCTATGGACTATTCTTGAGGATCTGGAGACAGGGACATACACAGGAAACCCACCTATACACAAAGACAATGATGCCATTAACAAATACAGTGATACCATTAACAAATGCAAGTACTTCATCTGGATTCTCAAAGTCAAGTATCAGTAAATTCTCCACTAACCATTTCAGAAAATTTGGTCTTTTAGAATTACTTTTCTGTTCAAGTAGTTAAAAGTTCAACAGACATTTTTAGTAATAAACATGCATAAACCATAATCATACTCTAATCATAATAGTTTTTGGAAAACTGTGAATGTACTACAACATTTTGATAACATTTTCTAGTATTTCTTGCTGTGATCTGGTGAGTGGCAGGGGACTTTAGCACTAGTGAAAAGCATGAACAAAATCTGACATGGCCGTGTGCGGGATTTGAACGGTGTAGTCGACAGTTGAGCTCAGCCCATCGGGTCGCTTCAATAAAATGTTGGCGTCTCAAATGTCAGGGAGTGATATTTCCAGCAGATATTATGCATGAGAGAATAAACACATACTTGAGTAAAACAGTCAGGGCTCAGAGGAGGCACAATACAAGTCTAGTAGCTCTACAATATTACAACTATTTACTCCTCTCGCCTAATGAAGGTAATTGCTCTGAGAAAAAAAAAAAAAAAAAAAAAAAATATATATATATATATATATATATATATATATATATATATATATATATATATATATATATATAATAACACATAAAAAAGAAATGCAAATGTAGGTTGAATGTAATGACTTTTACTGATTCAATTATGGGACAGAAATTACTGGTCATTTGAACTATAATGATGGAAACTGTGATGGTAAAGAAAGATTTATAACCTATTTCCAACAATTTTTCACATTACGTAAAAAATTTTTATTAAATTAAATAAAAGAGATGCAAGTAGATTTTTGCTAAACTGCGTCAACAAAATGGTAGTTTAGTCATGATTTAAGATACTAAATAAATTGATATGACATTAAAGAGGGCATGATTTACTTATTATATTTAAATATATATTTAGATCACCATGTTACCTTTTATTGTTTTGAAAATGCTATGCTCATCAAAAACAACACAATTAACATGTTTAATAGGTTTCATTTTAGTTGTTGATGCTGGGTGCCCCCTTCGTTTGCTCACTTCCCCTTCAAAGAGCTATCACAACATAATCAGCATGCATCCCACTAACGATTGAAGTTTATTGTTTTGTTTCATGTTTTTATATATTTATGATCAAATGTGTGGGAGTGTGGGTGATGTAGGTTTGGCTAATTATATTTGTAAGCCTAGTTCGAATAGGACCAGGGAGAGATCAGTACATTACTCAAACATGCATGGATGACATATAAAACCTCTTGCATGTTTTTTTTTGTTTTGTTTTGTTTTGTTTGTTTTTTTTTAGAAATGGACACCATTATAACAAAAAGATACTAAAAGTCCATGTTGCATAATACCCTCTTTAAGTCAACATTTTGGATTGCCAAAATCTTACTAGATCTCCCATCCCACTTCTTCCTGCGCTTTTACAATCAGGCTTACATTAGACAAAAACAACCCATTCTGTATTCTAAGCACATTTCAATTTACCCAGCTCCTCCATGTGCATCAACAGTCAATCATTTTCACATTTTCTGTTTGTTTGTCATTACTCACACAGCCCTTCAACTCTATTAAGTTTCACAGCGCTGCCCGGTGGTGGGAGGGCGCCTAACCCATGACCTCTCCCTCCGCGTACTGCGTGCATTCACTATGGTCAAGGGAGATTTATCCTTGTGAAGACCCAAATCAATATTCATGAGACTCAAAGCTGCTTGCCTGTCTCCCAAAGCAGGGCCCTGGTTGTTGCTGTAGCAGACAGTGAGTCTCTTGGGTAACATAGAGTTCATTTACTATCTGACAATAAGGCTGTGAGGTTGCAGCAGGGTCACCACTCACAACATAGGGGCAGGCTTAATCCTCAACCACACACGCCTGAATCCATGTCCTTCATATGTTTTCCTAATCAGATATCAGATCTGAGTGTCCCCCCGTCGACCTCTCCGTGTTTCTCCAATGGGTCCCTGTACTCCCACAGAGCTAATTTCCAGCTGCCTGCTTTTCCATTCGTAGTGTAATTCAGCTTTCATTTCAATCTGCACCTCCCGGCCCCTTTATCTCGCTATCATTCTCTCCCAGTATATTTTACATGGTATATGAGCAGCCAACATGCTATCATATGCCTTAACTCTTGACATAAATTGGGACTGAAATATTAAAATGTCTTTTCATGCCCTGCTAAATATGAAATACAAGAAAAAACGCAATAAGGAAATGAGAGGTTGGAATGTGGTACAAGGAAAAGTACTCAGTTTATACTGAGGCTTCACCAGTCATCCATAACATTATGACCACCTGTCTGTTATATTGTTGCTCATAATAATCTGCTAGAGTAATTGCATTTATAATAGCTTATTAGCATGGTATGACTTTATAGTCACTATAATATAAATTATGGTCTTAAAAAGCATGAAGAAAGACTTGAGGTTAAGGTACCCTGCTATCCCTGTGGGAAAATATGACCTCTGCATTTGACCCATTCTTCAGTGCCGCTGCTCCTGAGGCAACTAATCAAGAACAGTGGGTGTGGCAAGGTGCCATATAAAATGTAAATGTCTGCCAGGTGTCATGTCAGGTGCCACAAATACTGCCAGGTGCCACGTCAGGTGTCACACATACTGTCAGGTGACAGAAAATAGTGGCAGGTGCCACGGAGCAGCTGTGGCAGCTGCCAATGTCAGAAACTGAGCCTGCTGTCAATCGGCTGTTGTAAATAATTTAGTTTACCTATTATTTAGTTTACTAATTTGCAGGAAAACGCAAACAGCTAATCTGATAATTCTACATTCACCTTTTTAATATGTTTCTCCAAAGTTAATGGGCACTTTTATTCATCAAAATTTGATCCGCTCTGCTTGTCCAAATGCTCTTTTAATCCCTGCTCGGTCGCCCCTCTGCTCTGTATAATGACTGCATATTTTATGAGAAAGACTGAGAGAATTGGAGCAATAATGCAATTTCCGAGGTATATCGGTGTGCGCGCCTCTCTGCGGGTGGTTCTAGCTCATCTCCTTTTCTCCTCTGACTGTTTTTGTGACTCCTGACAGTCAGTCATCTGGAACCCCATGCATATTCATGAGGCCGGCATGCCACATTAATCAGATGAATTATGCTGAATGGTTCAGAGAGCTGCACCCTCACGTCCGAGCTAATAAGAGCCAGAGCCACCCTGGTTTTGTGTTGGAAAGTTGTGCCACTAAAGCAGATGACCCCCCAGTGACACCCACCCAAAGGATACAGATGACAAAACCTCACCATTTTTCTCGACAGCACTTTGGTACGTCAGGCTCCTATGCTTTTAAAGAACCAAAAATAACACGTTTCAACAACTCCAGATTCGAGATGTGTTTTTCTGGTGAGAATCATTTTAGATTTCTGATGTTGTCACAGTAAATCACCATCTTTCGTGTAACTTTATCATCTGTATCTTTGCACATGACAACTCCATGGCCTCCTTCACCACATCCATAAATCTCCTCTTTGGTCTCCTTAAGCCTCCTGCCCGCCAGCTCTAACCTCAGCATCCTTCTACTGATACGTGTCCTTTTTGACTTTATCTCCAAAGCATCTTACATGAGCTGTCCCTCTGATGCACTCATTTCTAATCCTATCTGCTCTCGTCACTCCCAAAGTGAGTCTCAGTAACATCTTAAGCTCTGATATCACCAGCGCCTTTTTCCTCAATGTCACTTAACTAACATTGCTGGATTCCTGTAGACAATGTCATGTCATACATCACACGAAGTTATGTTAAAGGTCCTATATTATTAAAATGTACTTTTTGAATCTTTAAGCCATGTTATAATGCTGTTACCTCCCCAAACAAAGCCCAATTCCGGGTATGGTTTTAATAAGGATGCAACATTATAACATAGATCAGAAAATAGCATAAAATTGGTTATTTACACTTAATTGTCCCAGTAGGGGAAAGCTTGTCATCTGCATTTGACCCATCCTTCAGTGCAGCTTGGGCAACCTAAAGTTTTCCACACGTTCTTAGAGACACATTTTTTCACCTCTAGTCCTTGCCATCCAGATAGTGTCTCTTAAATTTTGTCTTCTAGCAATAACGCCAGTTATAAGGATATCAAATTTGGCTCAAAAACCTAATGATAACATTTAGTTTAGTTTTGGCCACATATTTTGTCCTTTCACAGAACAATTAAAAGGTAAAAAGGTTTGAATCTTGAGGTTTGAGTTTTTTGGGGGTTTTTTAAGACAGAAAAGCAATACTGGTGATTCTATTTCTCGGAGCAGGGCTAGACACCAAAATGCCTTAAATCAAGCTCAATTGTCAAATGATCCTTTTTGTTGCTGCCTAGTCATGTATGAATCATTCACACAAATACAATATGCATTCTTAATCACGGCCACAGTTCAATTATAAGTTTAAGTCTGTTTGAATTTTCACTGGCACTTGCTTAGAGCTGAGCTGGGGCGAACAAAGCTTTGTGTATGTTGTATGAATGCATAGCTTTTATGTGCTGCCAGCCCGACTACTGAAAAGGCCATTAATTAAAGAACAAAAAGTGCAAATACACACAGACAATACAAAATATGACGT